CCCCCCCCCCCCACGGAACCAGTTGCCCTCCGCTTTGAAAGGCCCTGAGAAATTTCCCCAAAAAAGCCCTGCTCAACTGAACAGGTTCCGGGTTCCAGGCGTGAACTGATGCCCTGAGAGTCCTTCCAGGACCACTCGGAGTCCTACAAGTTGGATGAAGTCGAGTCTGAGCTCCTGAAAATCCACAAGGCCCCCCCCATCTTATGGGCGCTTCTTCGGTTTGGGGAGGAGTTTGGGCTTGAAGGCGAGGAACGGGGCCGCAGACGCAGGCAGTTTGCACTCCTGGATCCCTGTACGGAGTTTTGGGAGAAGGGCAGGTTCTTGCTATATGGGGTTTAGGCTCGCAGCTTTGGGGGTTTGGGGGTGTGCTTTGCTGTGGCTAGGAAAGCTTTTTTTGAGGTTCGGTTGTTCAAGGCCTGGCAGAAGGGGGGGACCCGATATTTGCGCAGGAGTTCATTCAGTTCAAGGAGAACAACGCGAAGCTGCAGGAGCGGGGCCGGGCCCGGGCCCGGGGAGTTTTTCCTTCCTTGTCTCCGCGAGCAAAAAGCCCCGCCGCCCTGAGCCCTCCGCGCCCAGCGCCCCGCGCCCCCCGCGAGGAGCGGCGGAACGCCGCCCTGGAGGAGTGCTACGTTGTACAGACGGCCATTGCCTCCATGGCACAGGTCCCGCAGGCGCCGACGCGTGGCAGAGTGGCAGAGTGCGGGTTTGGGGAAGGTGTCTTTGCCTGGGATTGACATGAAATTGAAATTGAAACAGTTTGAAAGAGGTCTTAAGGAGCCAGGAGAACTGACCGGCCGGAATTGTAATGTTGGCCCCCAATTTTGTTGGGCATGCTGTCAAAGAACTCCTCCCTGCTCCCACCTCCCGACGCACTTCCCGCTTTCAAGGCCTCCTCCAGAAGATCCTCGGGCCCGGAGGAAGACGAGTTCGAGTACGAAGCTTCCAGGTGGGCAGATCCAGAAAGGAGTTTGGAGGCCCTGTACCCAGAGATCCTACACCCTAAGAGGCTCTAGACTCTCAGGACCCCTGGCTGTGGTGACGATTTTCCCTTCCAGGTCGCTTCTCGATGAGGAGCGTGGTGTGTCGAGCAGAAGGACGCTGGAGACGATGTTCAGCAGCATCGCCGGCGTCATCCACCAAGAGGAGCAGGACAGGTTCGCGCGAATGCTGTTCAGAGCCACCCGCGGCAACACCTTCACGCACTTTCAGCAGCTTGGCTGCCGCTAGGCCGATGGGCCTGTTTGAAAACTGCGACCATCACCTGTCATCACATCTATCGAACTGCCCAGACGAGGTGACTAGGCCAAGGTCATCTGCAAACCCGGAAGCCCGAAACCCTACAGTAAGCCCCTAATTGCTCGAAGCCACGAGCCCGGAAGCTCGAGGCAAATCTTCGAGCCCATGCAAGATCCCAAGACGGGGCGCGAAGTCCACAAGTCCGTGTTTGTGATCTACTTCCAGGCCCTTAGAGCCTTAGGTCTTTCTCGATCTTTCGGGGCTTTCCGGCCTGTCCGGGCTTTGGGTTTGGGGTTTGCGAGCTTAGATGTTGGGGTTCCAAGGTGGGGCTTGGAGCCCAAAGCAACTAAAGCCCTTTGTAGATCCGACAAGCCCAAAGCTCCAAAGTTTTGACTCACCACTTTGAGGGTATATTTCTTCTATATCAAAACCACCACCACCCAAAGCCCCGAGACAAAGCCCAGCAACCTCCACTCCCTGGATCTTCTGCCCGAAGCCGTAAACAAGCCGGAGAAGCCACCTTTTTGCCTTCAGAGCCCTCAGAGACTCCCAGGTGAAGCCTCTCTTGGTGCCCCAAAACCCCGAAGCTTCTCCCGTGCAAACTCTTCGCTCCGCTTGAGACCTTAAAAGAGGACCACCGGATGGGAAGTGCAGCGTCCGCCATGAGCGAGAAGATCAACAAGATCTGCCCTCCGGAAACAGGGGAGAGGGGATATGAAAAAAGGGGGTTCATCACAGCCTTGACACCTAAAGTCCCTCGCCCGTTGAGGAGGGACTGCTTAGGGATCGAGGGTTTAGAGTCCAGCAGTCGCTGTAGGTTTTCAGGCTCGACGCGGGCCATTCTCTCGCTTAAACGGGCCAGAAAAAAGGGGCGTCGGGTGTGTGGTCTTAGGTTTCAGGCCAATTTCACGTCCCCCGAACGGCCCAAAAAAGCGTACAGATTGGAGCCTTGCGGCCAAAGGCTCCAGAAGTGCAACGCAGAGACAGAGACTCCAATGTTTCGATAGTGGGGTTAGTACTCTGTAAATTCTAGCTGAACACTTAAAAGGCTCGTTTCACCGGGCAGCGACATTGAACTCAAGCGAGACTTCGGGCTGCGCATGCTTCGGGGGGAGCCTCTGTTGGAACGAGGCTCCTCCTTCGGCGTGCACACCTACCGCTGGCCGGCGAGTCGCACTGCGGCCCAGGAGAGGCACAGCAGCCTCAAGGTGCAGGCGCCCTCCGAAGCTCTCGGGAGCTTGACAGGGCCCTAAGCCTCAAAAGACCCTACGTGCTGTGACCCTTGGGAGTAGATCCGATTCCGGAAGCCGGCAAGACAAGGGCTCAAAAAGCAGAGCTTTTGGGGATCATCGAAACTTAGCCCCGGCCTAAGCACACCCTGTGGAGACTGCAGCCTGCACAGGTGGAGGATCAACGAAGGCTTTTGAAGGCACGGCCCTGAGGGCTTTTTGAACGTCTGCAAAAGCAAAAGGGGTCTGCGGCTTCAGGGGACCTTTTGTCATCTCTGAGCTTCCCAAGCAGTCGCGACTCTTCCGTCAGTAAGTCTGACCAATGTTGGTGGTTTCGACTCGCCCTCCAAACGCCCAGGCTCCCAAGGAAGAGACGTCCTGATGGTCACAATCCATAGTCCATGTCAATCTGTGAAGCTCACCCTTCACCAGCGCAGAGGGCTAAACTCGCCAGGACAAGGGTCTTTAAACATTTAGAAATCCTGAAGAACACTCATGTCGTCTAGTGGCCGAAGTAATTAATAATATTTGTCCTGCAGGCTTTTGTCATTGTGATTCTTGCTGCGAACTGTACCCCCCCCCCCTAAAACTGCGTTTCAACAAATGGGGACCTTATATCAACGCAAAAACGGACACGGCGAGGCCCACGAGCACTTTGTGCACAGCGAGGCCCAGGGGGTGTGGAGCAGGATTACGCCCTTACCGTGAAATATCAAGTTTAGGGTTTAGACGTGACATGATCTGAGAGTCCGAATCTTTTAGAGAATCCCGCACCAGTCAGCACGGAGTTTAGGGTTTAGGGTGCAACTTAGTGGTTTTTGCAGGATCGCGACAAATTTGATTAGAGACGAGTGCGGAAAAACAAGGTAGGCTAGAAGCGCTAAGCCCCAGCAAGTTGAAATCCCAAACCTCGAAAAACTCCCGGAAATCCCACTTCTCCAAAAGCACCCAAGGCACCAAACTGCAACAACCCCCACATAAAAGCCACTTGGATCAGTCCTCCAATAAAGCCCTTGACAAACCCCCAAAAACTAAACACAAAAATCAAAACGGCCCCAAACAGAACCCAACAAACAACTCTTGGCCCTGAGCCCCCAAGCCCATAAACCCAAAGAAAGAATCCGAAAGAACCCCCCTAGCCCGAGACCCGAAGCTCTGTAATGAAGGAATCCTCCCCCACGTCACACCATCTTATATGTTATACTATGGCACCCTTACAGTACCTTTCAGCATTCCCCCCCCACCTCAGAGTATTCCTCACACATCTTCCTTAGCCTTGCAGAAGGCCTTAAGAAAACTGACGGCATCCCTCAAAAGGCTACCCTTTCAAAAGGAGGTCCAGTCCCCCCCCCGTTTAAAGGGGGATTCCACCCCCCCCCCCCCCTTTTCCCCTGCCCCGGGCCCTTCTTTTTTCCTCCATTTTTCGGCCCCCTTTGGGCCGAGGCCGCCTCGCTGCTGGAGCCCACGGGACGCGGCCGGGACTCCCTGATCGAAGAGTGGAGGCAAAGGGTTTAGGGGGGGTGGGGTTGGGTTTTTTGGTGCGTTTGTGGGGTTCAGGCTCTGGGGCTTTAGGGCTTTAGGGTTTAGTTTGGGTTTAGGAAGTTTAGGGCTTTAGGGTTTTGGGATTCTGTGGGGGCATTTGTGAAGGTTTTGAGGCTTCATGTGGTGGTGCTCGGGTTTCTGGATGGGGGGCCGGGTTTTCGGAGTTTGGGTGTTCAGCCGTTTGGGGCTTTACTTTGGGTTTAGGGTCTTGGGGTTTGGGTTGTAGGAGTTGGGTTTGGGACACTCTGGCCGTTTCTCAGGGACGCAGAGACCTGAGGCAACGGTCGGATTTAGGTTTCGGGAGGTTCAAGATAAATGGATTCGGGCTTTTGGGGTTAGGGTAAAGCGCATAAGGGAGTTGGGATTCGGGGTTCAAAGAACATTTCGGATTGGCTCGCTCCGAAGTCAAAGCAAGCTAGACTTTCTTTTCCACGCAAGCAATTGGACCTTGCTTCCGGCTCTGCAACCTCTTTTTCCAGAGATGCCCCGAAAAGGCAAAGAGAGACGCCCCAGGCTCTTCTGCGTCAAGGAGAAGGCCATTTACCACACCCTGCGCCTTGGCGCAGACGAGGCTCAAAGGCTCAAAGGCCCAAAACGCCCGGGCCGGTCCCAAGGTGTGGACTCCGCATACCGAAGACAAACCCCAGGAACCTCTTCGAGGGGAACATGAACCTGCGCGCCAGCTGCTGGTACCCCGCAGCAGAAGAGGATCGGGTGCAGGGATCGGGGCTTTCTTCATTTGGCCCAGAAGCCTCCCGCAGCGTTTCGTCCAGGAAAGGAGAAACGTCCAAGTCCAAGCCCAAAGAGATCCCGACCGTGCCGACCCCGCAGCTGCCACCACTTCTCGCAAGGATAACATCCGGGCTCTGTGCACCCAGCACTTTGCATCGCAACGGGGCCATTCCTCTGCGGTGCTACCTGGCCGAGACTAGCAACGGGGAGCTTCGGGGAAGAAGTGCTTCGGAATTCTGGGTCAAGCCATAGAATTTCGGAGCAACTCCTATAGGATGAGGTGAGGGTCTCGTCTCGTCTGTGTGGGCGTCCGTCCTCAAGGCTGATGCCACATCGGAGCCCGCCCCGGAAGCAGGCGCCGACGCGCCTTGGGCGCAGGAGGGGATTCGGACTTTGGAGGCTTCAGGGCGAGGCTTCACTCTGAGGCTTCGAAAAGCCACCGACTCAGATCGCGACGGTTGTTCGGCCTCTCTCTATTCCGAGGTGCGCTTAGGCTTGGCAGGAAGGTGAGCCAACTCAAAGAAGCACCTTGCCACACTGACCTTTACAAACTGCTCTCGTGCTTCGACGCCAGCACCACGGCCTTCAGAGCCGAAGGCCCGAGCGGACCTCAAAGTTTGATTTCCAAACCCCTGCAAGGCCCCAACTGAACTGAATCGGCTCTAACCTCTTGCTCAGGTACATCCGCGTGCTTCTCGGCTGCAAAACAGAGTGAACCCAGATTTTTCGAGCATGTAGCGCGGGATGCCCAGACCGTGAAGGAGTCTCCGTTTTGGGACCCCGAACGCTCCCTTTTGGGTTGGGGCCGTCCCGGCAGTGAGTCTGGCAGTCCGGGGCTGATTTAATGCCTGGGTGGGAAAGCAGACGCTTGTTCCCACAATGACTACTTCTTCGGTATGAACATGTCCTCAAACTGCAATCCCAGTTCAGGAGGCCTCTCTCTACACCGCTGTAGAATGCGACAATGACTCGAAGAAAGGTATTTGCAAAGTGCGGAGTGGTACTGCATTCTCTGTTTGCAGGGTGACCCGATGAGTTCTTCACGCGCAGCCCTTAAGAATCTGCACCAAGCTCTCTTGGTCATTCGGAACGGAGGAACGAGTTCACGTCCATCTTCCAGACCCTCGTGGACACCTACGGCCTGCCAAGGCGGGCGGAAAGGTCGAACCAAACACGAAACCGCAAAGATTCCCGGTGTCCAGGTACCAAGAGGCCAACCCGGCGCTCTTTACCCTCGTCACGTTTCCCTTCCTCTTCGGCGTAATGTGCACGAAGCTGCAAGATGTTTTATCTTCAAGAGGGTACTTTTTTGAGGAGTGGCGACGCACATGCACCCCGGTCTCCACCCGAAAGCTCAGAGCCCAAGAGGTTTAGAGTCAGCTTATTGCTGAGATCCTGAGATATCAATTCGGCCAAGGTACGGAGATATTGGTCACGGGCTTATGCTGCTCTCTGTTGGCATCTTCGCCATGGTCAAGAAGGACGAGCTGAAGTACAGCTTCCCCACACTGCGGCCCGGCACAATCCCCTGCCCCGAGTGATTGGATCTCCCAAGCACCAGGTATCAAGCGCGGTACATCCTCACAATGATGGGGATCTTTGCTGTCTACTGCGGCACCTCGGCCAGGGGACTTGCCTTCTCTCGGGAGCTTCAAGGGCGGCCAGTGTCTCGGATCCACTCGGTTTAGGAGAACACTCGACAGCACTCGGCTGCGGTGTTGAAAAGGCTTTGCAGTCCTGGTCGGCATGGACTCTATTTCGTCCAAACTTTGCTGCTTTCGCAACATCATGCACGGTTCTCGCAGCCCTTGTCTAAGAACCGGAAGACGCGCCAACATGTCTTGCCGGCAGACACGGCGAGCAGGAACAAGTGCCATAGACAAGGAAGGAGAAGGCAGAGAAAATCTTGACAAGAGTTGAGATGTACACAAGTGGAAGGCACGACTACACCACATCAAGGAAGGAAGGCAAATTTGAGAGGACGTTGCACGAGACCTCCAGGGCAGAGTGGAGAGACTAACTACGCCACGCAGGACATCCGAGTCTAACGAAATCGCGGCTTCAGTGGCCGGATCACCTCTCCAAGCCATGAGATGTCTAGAGCCATGCAGGGTGATTGAGGGGGGTTTGGGACTTGCTGGAGAGCTTTGCTGTTGAGGCTTCCTCTACAACGACTTCTTCTCGCTGGGCCTAAGCCTTTTCCAGTCGCGCTGGAGCGAGATTCCTGCGGATGCCAAGCAGAGCCCCGGCGGAGACAAATTTGGCGCGTAAACTGAGAATGTGTCTCCTCATCAACCCTGCGTGCGTTCTTGGATACGATGTGAAGATTGTTCATACAGCAAGAGCAACGGTATTCGCGCTGGTGCGCGTTCGTACAACCGCAGATGATGATCAGAGCAGCCTCGTTCACCACTTGAGATCTTTGTTGGCGCTCTGCACAGGCATGAGACCGTGGTCTTGCAGCCGAAGTTCGACAGGGAGAGCTGCTATGCAGGGGATTTATTTGTTGTTCGAGGTCATCGCTGATAGTTGGTTCTACATATTGTTGGTACGAATGTACTCACAGACACAGCGTCGCAGCAGGAAGCAGAAATGGCAATTGAGTCTGATTGTGAGGAAGGCTCCAGCACTTCTGGTGTTATTGTTGACTGGCATGGAGAGAGTGAGGATGATGAATGCCCTCACAATTTTCTGGCCGAATGCCAGAAAGCCCGAACCCAAGCCCCCAGCCGGCTTCTTGCGAGGAGAACCGGGGAGGAATGGGACCGTACCCCTTCGGCCTGGACCCGGCTTGGAGCCTTGGCTGCTAGCTTTGGGGCTCGAGCCGGTCGTTTTTTTGTGGGGGGTCCCCAGACAGAAGCTTGACGAGTTTCTTCCGCTCCGGGGGCGAGAGAGGCACGGAGCCCAGAACGAGCTGGTCTACTTGAACTCCATGAAGATGAAGCTCTCCGTCGTCCTCGGCGTGGTGCAAATGTTCGTCGGCCTGCTGCTCCTTGGCCCGTACTCCCAAGTCCGCCACCATTTTTGAGCCGAATACTCCCGACGCAGGCTCCGCTTCGCCAACGCCATGTACGACAAGAACATGGTGGACTTCTGGTGCGAATGCGTGACTCGTCAGGCTTTTGCAGGACTGCTTCGAGCCACCGCTTTGTGCAGCGATCTACGAAGCCCAGGTGCCGATGTTGATCTTCATGCTCGGATTCTTCGGGTTCATGGACTACATGTGCCCCAGCACAATTGGATAAAAAAAAACACCCACGCCAGCATTCCGGTCGGTAGAGCGCACGGGCTTCCCCCCTCCACTCCCCACAAAAGCCAAGCCCACCCGGGGCCTCCGAGCCCGGCACGACCCCAAAATGCAGAGGATTCTCTACAAATGGGTCACGCCCATGAGCAACCCGCCCAGCATCATCAACTCCATGATTGCCGCTCGGCCTCAGCTCGGTTCTCTCTCCAAGGTATCCTGTTCGGTTTGGGTTTCGGTTTCGGAAACTCGGCGGATCTTTTGAAGGCTGATTGCTGGAGATGTTCCTGTGCGGTCTGAGGCCATGGCGATGTGGACGGAAGACCCGAACCCCATGTTTGGCAACGACCTGCCGCGCTTTGCTCCGGTTTAGGGCCAGGGTCTATTTGGGTATCCTGTCTGCATCCCTGGAATCATGCGGCTGCAGCCGAAAGGCTAGGAAGCCTGCCCAGATCTGCACTTGCTCGTACGTCTGAAGCCCAGCGGCCTGACGGAAGCCGTCGAGCCGAGGAAGCTGCTGATGGGAACTTGCATGTTGGCGGTGCCCTTCATGTTGCAACCCGGCCGGATTTCACAACACGGCGCGGTGTTGTGTCGCGGCTCTGGCCGATACCGATCCCGAGGATTCCAAAACCCGTCATCTTGAACATGCGCCACAAGGCACCTGGAAAGTCCTGGGCAAGCTTCACGTGTCGCTTTGCAGCGAATGTAAGTCCGGCATTGGGACTTGGGATGAGCTCGAAATCCAATCATCGAAACACCGAAAAGGTGTCGGTGAAGATTTGAGGAAGCCTCACAGCTCCCGCGCAGGCCAGCCGCCCTCCGTCGTGCATGGGCCCGGGCGGCCTCCGCGGCTTCGGAAGCGGGGCTTCGGGGTCGTCGAGGGTTTTTTTGCATGACTCGACAGATCAAAGAATGAAAACACGTCGCATCGTCACGTAACACGGAGCCCAAATTCTCGTGATCGTTTGGGCTTCTTAACTCGCAATATGGTGGAAAAATTGTGCCGGAGGTGGGCACATGCCGCTCAGTGACGAGGAGTCGCTGAGGTCCGAGGACGAGGCCCGACAGTGTTTTTCAAGCAAGTTCTCGCCCCTCAGCTGGGGCGAGGGGGCACAAGTCTTGGATTTCGGGATTCTGAAAGCAGGGCGTTCTGGAGCATGGGACAGTATGGAACGACTTCTTCAAGAGTTGCAGCAAGGTTCCTGCGGACCAGGCCACCTTTGAGCTTTGGTCCACCCCACTTGGTTTTTGTGGGAAGTTGGACCTCTGCATTCTAGCAAATCTTCCTACCCCCCCAGGTCTTAAAAGTCAGAAGTCTTTTCGCCTAGGCCCAGGCAGTTGAGCAAAACCTTGCCCCGGCGGCCGAGGGAGTGGGGGGTTGGCATTTCTGATGATGTCTGCGTTCTCTTGTGACTAAGACCAAGAGATTTCACCCAGCATTTGATACGCAGATAAGATCGCGTCTTCGCATCCTCTGCTGATGGAGGCCTTTGCGGAGTTTTCTGCGTCCGAAGCGTGCTCGCTCCGTTTCCAGGAAGAGGAAGAGGAGTTCGACCTCACCGAATGCGTCATCCACCAGGCCGGCCATGCCCACACCTAAAATGGACCGTCTTCCATCGGAAGCTCAGCTCAGCTTCCCCCTCCTCCAAAAAGAAAGAAGAGAGAAGAAAGAAGAGCCTTGGCCCCGGCTGCCGGAACTGCCGGAAGGTGATTGAGACCATCGAGTACGTCCTGGGAACCGTGTCGCACACGGCCTCCTACCTCCGGCTCTGGGCGCTCTCCCTGGCGCACCAGCAGCTTCCGGGCCCGGAGTCTTTAGGAGGAGATACCTTGCTTTAAGCTGCTAGTGCCAGCGAACTAGCAACGCAAGGCTTCTTTTGAGAGTTCGAGACCCGAAGAGAGCTCTGGAGCTGAGGCTCTCCCTGGTCTTCTTCGGCATGACGCTGCTTTCCGGGATGGGAGCACCCTTCCCACTGCGCCCGAGCAGCAGAGGAGGGGAGGTTGGCCCTCTGAGTGGTCGAACACCCTCAGCAGGCTTCGAATCGCGAGTCTTTTCGTAGACGTGCAGCGCATGTGTTGCGGAACCACGCGATAAGCTCAGGAACATCATTGCCACCTACGTGGCCTTCTACTTCTGGTTCGCCTCGACTGTGGGCATCTTGCTGGGCATGGACGTCATGGAACCTCAGTTTGGAAGACAGGCCTCAAACTCCCAGGGTCAAATCTTCTCCAAAGAGAGCTTTCGCCGATACCGAGGAGTGCTTCCTGCACACTCTGCGCCTCCACTGGGTGGCTCCGCCTTTTTAGCGAAGTTTTTTGAGGGGGGCTCGCTCCGTTGTGTCGGGGCGGGCCTTTACGAGGGCTTTGTCCTGGCACCCTAAACCCCGACCGAGTCCTGGCTGCGTTCCTGCTGCTCTGGACAGTTGAGTTTCAGAAGACGGCAAGGTGTCGAGGGACCGAAACGAGGTGTCCCTAAGGCTTTTGCCGTTCTTGTTGCTGTCGTCGGTGCTGCAGATCTAGCATGTAAATCTTGTTTTGCCTGCCGAGGTAGAGTTCCAAAGCAAGTTCTACAAGGCGGATGGCTATGCGTTCACACCCTTCTGCCATAGAGCCCGGCTACATCCAGCAGCTTCTTTCTTCTTTCCTGGTAGGACGAGACAAGTCAATGTTTCTTTTTGAGCGATGTTCGCTGTGGACCGAGGAGATCTCCTGCGCAAGGAGACGGACGAGTAGTTTTCGCAGGATGCGCAGGTCAGTGGTGTGCGAGCATCCTCGACACCTCACACTTGTTATATGGACTGTGTGACAATGCACTATGCCCTTTTGTAGACCCCTCCGGACTTGATATTGACCCGAAGTCCAGAGCGACAAAAGCCTTCGAATCTCTTGGCGACTCGCAGCCGCCTCTCTGTCCTGCAACTGAGCCCGTGCGAGCCCGCGCAGCCCAGGGTAAAGCTCTGAAGGCTTGCCGGCGATTGCTTCCAGAGGCCGAGTGCAGTGGGCCGAAAAACAGAAAAGAAGGGTGCTTCAATCGCCGCTGCCACGTTGCGGCTCTTGACGGATCGTCGATTCTCTCAGGGAGTTATAGAAGTTTTGGTTTTTCATCGGCTGGGTCTTCACTCACTTCCTGAGTCCCCTGAGCCCCCAAGTCTTCCCTCGAAGTGACCGCCAAAAGTAGGAATCGGCCAGAAGACCGAAATTCTGGGAGATGAAGTGAAAGGTGCTCTGAGGCAAAACCAACCCCCGGGCCTGTTTGCGCCTGGTCTCCTCGCTGACTCTGGCTCCCGGGCGTGATCTAGCACAGGAAAAAGCCATGCCTGCAAGCAGAGACAAGCGACTTTCAAGGACGCATCGCGAAAAGCCCACTAAGAACCGCCATCTTCAGCACAGCTTCCAAGCCTGAAGAAGGCGCCGCAGCTCTGACCCGCAGTGGATTCCTTGTGACGCCCGCAGCCAGAATGGCGCTCCTCGCCGAGGCCGGCCGGGGAAGGGGCCTCCTCGAACAGGCCGTCACAAGCGCCCTCGCCAGGCATTTACCTTGGGTCCTGCGCCACCAGCACTGCCTGCGAGGCTGGGTCGGGCAGAGCCTCTCATCGTAGGCATTTTTGGAGACGCTCCGCAGCTTACGTAGGCTCTGTGGAAGGATCGACTCGGAGCTTCGGTTCAGAACTCCACAAGCGCCGCAGAGGCTTGCCTCAACTCCGGCACGGGCAACCTGCAAAGCTCCGGAGCGAGGCGCACGTCGGCTGAGGGGCGCAGAAACGGCACATTCTGGAAACCCCGGAAGGAGGTTCCGTTGTGGGCTTTGACTTGTTCCGGAGCAGACCTTCAACAATGGTATAACCGACAAAGATTCCCAAAGCAAGGCGCGCCGTCTGCACTCGCGGCGGCCGCCACAGTTCTGGTGGCGAGTGCTGCGGGGAAGAGGCGAGGCCGTTTGTGAGCATAGAGGCTTGGAGTTCAGCGGTTGGGGCTTGAGGGCCCAGGTTGACTGCACAAAGCCTGAACAAAAGCTCCCTTGTGCCCCTGCCAGGTCACGGACCAGGAACTCTCGAGAGACCGTGGCATCGAGGGTCGGGATCCTGGTCGGGGGCGAGAGGCGTGCTTGAGAGCCTTTGCCTCCCGAACTTGAGATTCTTCTGATTCCCATGTGTAGATAAAAAAACCTCATCAAAGAAACAGCAGACACACGGCAGAACTTTGCAAACAGGGCCCAGGAGTTTGATCCGCTCCGGGTCGGTCCTTAGGCAGTCGGCATGGGAGCCGAAGCAGGTCTGCTGAAGCCGTGGCCCCATGGGGTGCCGGAAGGGAGCTTTGAGCTCTGCTTTAGACTTTAGTCTCTTCTTTCGGGGCTCTTTCAGCGGTCGTCGCTGCCAGAAGGAGTAAGTTCGTGTGTCCTAGGGCATTGCTTTAGATGTCAGTCATCCCGGTAGTGTTGGGCACGCGGTGGCTTCGATGAGTTGTGCTCGCTTGCGCTGCAAGGTTTTAAGCAGTTTTCCTGCAACTGATGCCTGCGCACATCGAACCGGGAAGTGCTGTGGCACTGTGCTCGCTGAGCGTATTGACGGCACGATTGTAATCAGCAACTGTTCTGGCTTGCCTGCTCCGCTAGAGAATGAAGCTCATGGAAGTTTGAAGGGGCAACCACGGAAGCTCTTCCGCTTCAAAGGCAGCACTCGCAAAAACTGCAGTGGAGTGCTAGTGGAGTGACGTCGATTGCGCAAAGGAAGAATCGCAAGAAGATGCGGGAGATGGAAATCGAGATGATGGAGCGGGAGCCTTGAGCCCTTCTTCGGAGGAGCTTCCACTTCGGCGGGGATTGCCACTGACCGTCTTGAACTCTTCCTGAGTCCTGCAGACTGTCGCTGCACTTGGAGCCGCTCGCATTGCCAAGGGGTGCTCTGAAAACCCTCTTCGCGCGGATGGACGAGCCGGACATCTACAAGGCCCACTCGGCGCGTCGCCGCCCCGGCGGCCGCCCAGCCCGCCCAGCCCAAGCCTCGAAGCGCGGCAGGTGCGCGAGATCCTCATGCGCCTGGCGAAGACCAACCCCAGGCCAAACCAGAACATTTCCGGAGCCGGGACCCCAAACCTTGTGGCTTAAGGATGGAGGAGTATAGCAGTGCGGCAGCAGCTCCGCATCTGAAAGCTTTGTCTCCAAAATCGAGCGAAGGGGCCCAAAAGCTCCAACAAAGGACTGGATCATCTTCTGGGCCTCTCGAGAAGGCTGTGCGTGGCCCAGAGTGGCTCGCAGATGTGACGGTCTTGTGGCAGTCTGCAGTCGTGGACTCGCCTCTTCGCGCAGCGGCCAAGGCGAAGATCGTGTTTCGATCTGGAGCACTCTCGAATATTAGGAGTAAGGACACCTCGAAACAGATGGCTCGTGCGTGTGTGTTTGCAGAAATCCAAAGTCCAAAGTCGGCACTTAGCAGTAGCACGGAAGTGCAAGGCATCGACAAGCTCTTCGGCACCGGCATGACCGACGAGGGCTGGTGGATGCAGCTGCAGGAGACACGCTCATTGAATGGAAAGTTTTGCGGTAACTTGCGGTTGCAGGCAAACGTGTTGGGATCGGGATTTGCTTGGTGAGTCCTCTGTTTGCGGTTGCGTGCTTGCCGGACAGAGTGCAGCCAGCACATCTGCGCAGCCGTCGCCAGGAATACCTTATCCGCTTCGGAAAGAAGAAGGAAGGCAGCTCTGCATTGCCCTGCGCACATCAAAGCACTCCGAGATCCTCGGAGAGGGTTTACATCCTTGCCGTGCTGAGTTCGCGGTTAGTGACTATTCTGGACACTTTCTCTTCATTGCCAGCTAGCATCGTGGCACAAGCTTCTCTATACGTCCACCCGAAGCAGCCTGCTGGATTGGATATTCCTGAGCTCAATCGCACCGTCGCACCTCCATGCGTCTGTTTCTGGTCAGGTCGAACTTGCGAGGCCATCGAGATCGTTCGACACGCGGCTTCACGATTCCGGAAGCTTCCCTTTGCCCTCGACACATTTTTGCTCAGGCTCTCATCACAGCCCTGTATTTCCATGCTCCGAAGCGACGAGCCATGCGTCCCTGAAACGTCTTCAAAAGTGGCTGCATCTATTATGAGTGTTTCTTCAAAAAAGCCGAAGGGCCGAAGGGTGGAGGAGTTCAGCTGCAGAGAGCAGCTGAGCTGCTCTGCCACGCCAATCCAAGGAAAGGTCGGCCCCTTCCCCAACCAGTCCAACTGCCGCAAGCTCAGAAAGGGAGAGCTCAGCCTCGGATGCGCTTTCTTACAGAACTGACGAAGAAAGCTCAAGCACAAGGCACTCTTCAGCTGTCTCCAAAAGGGCTCTGTGTCCCTTACTTCCCTTCCCTGTAGGTTACCCTTTTGCTCAGGCCTGCGAGGCGACTACGCCATCTCTGGCACCAACCGGCCACCCTTGCTTTTGCCAGTGAGCTAGCCTTGGGCGAAGAATCGATTCGAGGAGACGCAGAAGCTCTCTGTTTTTAAATACTTTTCGGGTCAGGTGTTTCTCGGTTTCTTTGCTTTTGCAGGTTCAGGCCTTCCGGGTTCCAGTTTTTGGCGGCGCACTTGCTTCTCCGCAGCCAGGCTCAAGATCACCTTCTCCGAGATGAAGACCGATGAAGGCCATAAGACGTGCTGATGACGTCTTTGAGCTCTCGCTGCTCGGCTTTCTGGCTGGAGGCAAGGACCTAGAGTTCCGGGAGGGCAAGGAGAAGATGGCCCGGGCCCCAGACAGGCTTCGAGGAAAGGCTCAGGCACGCGTCGACCGCGGGCCGAGGGGGAAGAGGGGATCAGCAGATCGCGGGGTAGCGCAGCAGGGTGAGCATGGCAGAGTGCATCATTCACTTCGTTCTGTGTTGGCACGCGGTCACCCGCTTAATCGTCTCCGCACTAACTCGTTAAGTCACACCGACTCCGCGCCGGACAACGTCATACACATTTGCCATTGCCCAGCACAGGCAACGCATGGAATAGTCCTCATTTCCGAATTGCTTCGAAAGCATCTCAACAGCCAGAGCTTGGATGTAGGACTGTTCCAAGTATTCCAAGTCCAACCTTCGGTTCTCAAACTCTGAAGTGCCTCGCTGCATACCGACCTTGACCCTGAACCCGCCCCTTTTGAATCTCGGACATAAGCTAAAGTTTGAATTGCCACGCTCCAAGAGATCGTCATTTGCGGCACGTCTGTAGCGGACTGCAGCAGCGGCTTTCGAGTTTTTGTTTTTAGGTTCTGCGCCGCAAGTGTCGTGCCGCCGTACTGCAATTCTTAATTGGAAAGCTTGCAACTCGTTGTTCCTGCTGTTGCTGATGGTGTGAGCACCAGCTTGCAGATGTTTCTCTTATGTCACCCTCAGCGCTCAAATTGCATGCCTCTCTCGCACAGGGGGGGCTCTGAAACCGGCACACCGACCGCGCTCAGGTGGTCGACGTAGATGTCATCTATTCCTCGAAGAAGATGGTAGCGATCCAGTGGGAGGCCAGGTGCCCAGGGCTCGCAGCCCATTTCGAGCGGATGAGGATTCTGCTTGTGGCTCGTCTGGGCTGCCAGGATGATAACGGTGAGTGCGACTTTTACGCCTTGGGCCCTGGACCGTTTGACTTGCTTTTTTTGGTAATTCTTAAAGCTGGAAAGAGTGTTGCTATTTCAGGTGCTCACACGTGTCAAAGACCTTCTTGCCGAGAGAGACAAGCTTGGCGCTCAAAGCTCGCGTTTCCACTAACCATGCTGGTAAAAAATAGAACAATGCAGACAACTTGTGTTTCCGACTGCATCCCACAGCGACACTCAACGTTTCTCAGCCCGTGGTAGCAACTTCAAGTGCAGAGTTAGCGGCCCAGGTTTGTGGGTACTTCCCGCGCGAGGTATTTCTTCAACTGAAGGGAGGCAAGAACTGCTGAGTGGTTTTTTCGGAAGGCGTTGTCAGAGTGTGTGATGTTGGCAGCGACATCAAATCAGTTGATGTGTCATGGAGGAGGCCCGCTAGCTTCAAGTTCTACAGAGTTCGACGACGTCAGTGCATCATTGCCAAACCGAGCCGACACATCGACGTTTCTACTTGCAGGCCCAGTTGTTGCTGCACAGAACTTTTGCCAGAAACTCTTCAACGAGAGGTTGAGGCACAACCTGTGAACCGCAGCATTCGATTTTCGGTTTTCGCTTCAAGGAGCCCCCAGTTTCAAAAATGAAATGCATTCCACGTCTTGCAGCAGCTTTTTATTTACATGAGTCCTTGCCTTTGATCCGGATTACATGTTTCTTGAATAAATATTACTTGTCATAAAGAAGCTTTATCATAGATGTCCTTGGCACCATATATTGTGCAGCATCACGATAACTAATAATAGAATATTTGATTTGTGATGAAGTCTTAGTATACAGATTCATGACTCAATTTTTTTAAGTTACAAAAATGATTCTGAATTTTTATTCTAATATTAATCGAAATAGTAAGATAAAATATAGAATATACAGAACTTATTAATATCTTGAATTTAATTTGATTTCTTTCATTATTTTTAGAATTTTCAAATAAAAATTCTATTAATGATATTATTTTATTGATCTATTCATAATAATAAATGAATTCGAATTTAAATTTATTTATTGATTTTTTTAAAAAAAATTTAGCATAAAAAAATAATTATTATTTGAAGATTTTATTCTTTATGTTTATATATACTTATATAATATATAAAATATATATTAGTCTTATTATGAATAGAATCTAAA